CTGATGCTGGCCGCGGGCGTACTTGCGTCGCGTTCAGAAGACGCTTCCGCAGCTGTCTGATGTTGTTTCTACTCCGCTGACGTCACTTGTGCGTTTTCGTACTCTTTGACGCGGTTTTGAGCCAGTTCAAAGCGTTTGCTCTTTGTGATTATGATGATATCTTGATGCTTATTACTTCCTTGCATTTTAGGCAAAGAGTCGCATATTCGTATGGCAAAATACAAACAGGGTAAGGCCACCGAATAGATGCTGAAGCTCTGATCTGAGTAACATTACTTTATAGGTAAAAATGCCAAGTATGCCGAGAACGTTGTCGACGACGATGATGACGTGCCTATTTTTGCGCGAAGGGTTTGCGATACAACTAAAGAGGTTTGTCGCTGTGTCGGCTGAGGTGTCGTATTCCTGTAGAAGAGCCGGAGTACAAGCAGTTTCCAACCATGGTATTCAATTGCCCATTCAGTTGGTACTCCTAAAAACGAACATTCTGAGGCAGAGAGTTCTTGACGTTATGCTACATATAGATGCTCAAAATGCTATATCTAAAGTCTTATCTTCCCCCCCCCCCCCTCGCTTTGTGCTTTGTCAACCAGCCTGCGCTTCACTCCCCTTTCTGTTTCGAACTACTGTAGCTATTTTCAGATAGACCAACCGATTCATGCTTCTACGTTTCCGCTAGATGGGAAGCCGTTTAGCGCTATCAATGCTGACCTTGTTCCACCTTTCATAGATGATCCGAATGAGTTGTGGGTTTGAACTGCATGTGTCGATGCAGAAAAATCCAGAAGTGATCTCGAAAGTTTCAGCTTTGATGAGTTTGGTTTCCGAAAAAAAGATGAAATGCCGTGTTCTTCCACTGAAGGCGTTGAAATCGAGAACAGCTCGCACAGGTATATTAAACACAAATATTATTCCGAATCTGTCGATCTGTCGTAGTGATTGATACGTCTCTCATGAATATTCGTTTTGCTTCAGTGAGTATCGAACATTATCTAGAAATGCAATCACAATTTTATGCCGAAGTCATGCTGATTACACTTAAAATGCCTTTTCCTGAGCATCATACGTTTATAAAGCGTAATTTTCCCTCCCTTGTTACCGTCTTCTTGATAATAAGCAAAGTGCAGACAAAACGGAAACAGACTTCAGGATGCGCTTTGTGGCCGCCATCGAGTTTGCTCATCCCAGTGTGAAGGAAGAACTGGTATGGTCCAAAGTGGATTTGGACTCGCTCCGCAGCGAAAAGATCGAAGAGCTGATCAAGGAAGGAGGTTGAGGCTGCTACCTTTGCGAATTTCACATCATTTTAGCTCTAAGCTGTCTTTAATTTGAGCTTACAGGCATACCCCACTCGATGCGTCCATACTTATGGCCTCGATTTGCTGGAGCTACGAGGAAGCGACTTGCTGCCGGATACTCCTACGAGGAGGTCCTGCGACAATCCGCTCAGGACAAACCTTCCATAGGTAAAGCTAGATAGGACAATAGAAAGCCGATGGTGTAGTATTTCATTCTTTTAGGGGTACAGATTGAAAGAAGTCTGCTCCGTACCTTGCCCAATAACATTTGTTTTTGGAAAAAGAATGGCGCAGGGATTGATGCACTGCGAAGGGTGCTGAAGGCTGTAGCTTTCATATATCCGGATTTAGGTTTCTGTGAAGGCATGGGTGAGCAGTGATTGCAGTCGTTTTTTATACTGT